GAATCGTTGTATCTGTGAAAAACCCGCATCAAAAATCCGTTGCGTAGTTTTGAAGATCTGAGCATACATAGGCACAGACAGCGGGAAGCGACTTTGTTTTATACTATGCAATGATAGTAAAGATGTTCGTTTTGTCGTACACTTAGGTGCTCTCATGTTTCACCTATATAAGTTTCGCCGTATATATTTTGGAAAATATTCGAATAGATCAGATATTGCTCTGGAGAAATGTTGAATGATACATTATATTTGTCTATGCAGATATTTGATAAAACTAATGAGCAATGTGAGAAAGTATTTCCAAATTCTCTTGTTGAGTGCTGAAATATTATAAAATTATTAACATAGACAACATCATAGACAATTGATCATCTCATCAGTAGGGAGTGTAAATGGAATATAGTAACCTATCTAAGGTTATTGCTAGCAATTCCTGAATGATTATTTTGAGTATCCTAAATTTCACTAGTTCGGTTTCATCTGATTTGAAATATCTGAAAAACAAATCAAATTAAAATGAGTAGCTGAAAACATCGACTATAGCAGGCTATAAAATGTGAAATAAAATAACAATTAAATAAAAATATGCAAAAAAAAATGTTGAATTGAACAAATAAAAATTGAATAGAAACATTTTGAAAAAGATTTCAAACCAAGTTACTTCACGACGTTTCGATTGTTAGTATCCACAATCGTCTTCGGATGATAACTGGACTATTACTCCGGGAGATGACTATTCATATGTCATTCGAACACTTCCATCTATCCCCTTTTCCCTCTCTCCGCTTCATCGGTTCAGCGGGAGTTGACCGTTTTTCCGCTTGATTACAGGGTTGAATATGTTGTGAATCTATATGCTAGCTTGACTGAATGCGTCGTTGGAAAACTGATATGCAGCTTCTTTGAACTTCCTCTTGAACCTCCCTGTGGATGATCTCAGCTTGAGACCACTTGATGGGTCCTCGCTGTGTATTTCTATCGTGCTTAGCAATGCGGAATTTCAATGACCTCACAGTTTCACCGATACAGGATTTGCCGCAGTCACAGGGTATCTGGTAAATGCAATTCTTGGAATTGCAGCCCGCGTTTGATGGCCTGATTTTTGTGGGGCTGCTACGGATGGTGTTTCCAGATCTGGAGCAGGTTCTGATGTCGTACATGAACCCAGTTCTCCCTATCTTTTTCGACAATCTTCTGACGTAGAAAAGGGCAAGAACTAGTTGTAATGGCTTCTCTTCCTTGTGAGGCTCTGGAATATTCTGTGATTCATCTCTATTGTAGTTAACTGAAACCCAGAGCCTGAACAGAACACATATATGAGTCGACACCAGACAGTGTTGTTTTGATCCGCCATCGGTCTCATCAGTGGTGCTAGGCTGAACCACAAATGCATGGACTCCACTGTTTTCAAGAGTGACGAGATTCGTTCTCTGTCTTCCACTGCAGCTTTCACTGCAAGGCAACTGGCTGAAAACTGGAGCCCAATGAGGGGAGCCTTCTTTATCTTCGATATTTGTGGATTGATTTCTCTGTTGATCCCATAGATGGCGTCTTCATATGCTAGCTAAATGTGAAGTTTTTGTCAAAGGATGATCTCAGTTTTTCCACTTCAAAAACCCATTATGAATGGATGGCAAAAACTATAATTAGGTTATCTGGGTTCATTTGGCCTGATCCTCAGTCTATTCTTTCCATATTATAGAAATATGTCTGGATCCAAATTTATACAGTTACTTACCGAGATAATTGCATAGCATTTGGATTTTCGACGTTTTTGTTACATCATAAAGTGAAAGTGAGCAGGTTCATTGTCATGATGCAAAAGACATGAATCCATGTCCACAATACCAGACGTTTTTCTCGCAAGCAGCGCATAACATCAAAATAATAGTCCATATTGACAGTGCGACCATTTGGCAAGGAATCCTTATGCACAACGCCGCGGTAACCTAAGAAAACACTGAGCAAAACCTTGATATTTGATCGAACCATGTTTTTTTTTGTCTTGGCTCTCCTGGGATCTTCCATTGGGATTATTGGACTTTGGTCACGTCAAAAATGTTTATTAGCTTTTAAGATTGTGTAATGATGTCTTGTGTAATAATGTCTAGTATGGTGTTGTTTTAGTTGTCATGTGTTGTTTTTCCGTTGTTTCGTGGCAGTGGCCATTGGGGTTTTTTGGGTACGGGTTGTAAGGCCGGGGGTAATGGCTTCAGATTTCAGCTCCTTCCAGGATTCAGTGATTCCAAGTGGGAATTCCTCTAGGATATCCTATATCTGCTCCGGTGGATCTTCCATTGTTCCCAGGAGTCTTGCTGGGGGAAACGGAAGCTTCTTCCTAGGAATCGTTTTGGGTCCTCCACGGGGTCCACGGTGTAGTCAGCAAACTGATGGTATCGGTGTTACTACTACTCATCGTTCTTGTCGCGTATCGTCCTTGAAGTTCCTGAAATCGAAGGTTGATTATGGTGTTGTGTTTATTAGGTTACATAAGGTTTAGGATGGGTAACGGTAAGGGAGGTTGTGGATGTTGCGTAGGATTCTTCTCTCGGTAGTTAGGATACGGTGGGATAGTCTCGGGGGAAGTGTACAGTTTATCATAGCTTTGTAGTCTAGGACTGGTCTGATGAAAGATTTATATGCATGTAGGAGAGTTTTACTGTCGCACCTCCCGAGCTTGCCTTTCGGAGCTTACAGCAGGTTTGCCTGTCCAGACTCTGTCGAGAGTTTCTTTCAGGTCGACCTCCCAGTTGAGGCTCCTCGTGAAGGTAAACCCCAAATAGGACACCGAATCCTGGAGTATGAGGTTTTCTCCTAAGAGTCTGAGGTTCAAGTTATGGGGATTTAGTTTAGGGCGGGTAGTGGTGTGAGGATATCGAAATGAGATGGTTTGGGTTTTGGTGTGATTAATTTACTGGATGCACCACTGCTCGAAGTGGTCGATCATGTTCTGTGCTTGAATTTGCAAGCTGCGGGTGTTGGGAGCGGAAGAGTAAAGAATAGTACCGTCGGCATACTGGAGGATTTTCTGGGTAGTGAGGACGTCGTGTGCGTGAATTAGAAATAAGGAAGGAGCGAGGACTGAGCCCTGGGGAACACCGGATTTGGGAAAAAAGGGGGAGGATAAGGCGTCACCGACTTTAACGCGGTTTTATCAGTTAGATAGGTAGCTACTAGTCTGATGAAGTGGTATGGGAGACGAATTTGGATAAGCTTCCAGATCAGGCCCGCGTGCCAGACCTTGTCGAAAGCTTTTTGAATGTCTAAGAGAATGATGATAGTGCCGAAAGAAGAGTTGATATTTTGGTAGATGTGGGTGTGTAATTCGACAAGTGCATTCTAAGTGGAATGTTCAGGTCTGAAACCATGCTGGTGGAGAGAGATGATGTTATGTTCTAGAAGGAAGTCATTCAGTCGATTGCAATCGACTGCTGCAAACTGCTGGAACGATTAATGACAATTGTCATTAATCGTTCCAGCAGTTTGTCCAGACAACTAAGCAGGCTGATAGGTCTATAGGAATCCGGTTTGGTGAGATCCTTGTGAGGTTTTGGAATTAGAATTTTATTTGCCTGTTTCCAAGCGTTTGGGAAGTTAGCGTGTACTAGACAAGCTTTGAGGATGTGTTTGAGGAAAAGAATGGCGGAGTCAGGAAGGTATATCAGCACTGTGAATAGTATTGAGGATATCTTCCTCGCTAAATGGGGATCTCAAGGGGCAGTTGAAGTCAAGGGGAATCTGACTGGGATGCCTGCCCAGCTATCCGGTGGCTCAGAAACGTCGAGTCAGGACAGGGAATTCTGTACAGGTTGTGGTCGAGTAAAAGGTTGCCTAAAAGACGGCCGTTGGCATTTGAGGTAGAAACTCCGAGTTGAGTGTGTCTGGAGTTGAAATTTCCTATTAAGAATGCTTTGGGGAGAGAAGCTGAATATTCAATTATTTCTCTGGAAACTGATTGAGTTGGGTGATTGTAGTAGGCTATGATTGTCATGTTGCCGGTGTTGAAAAGTAGATCGATCGCAAGGCAATCGCAGATAGGTTAGGTTGAAGGTTCGGTTTTTGTGTGCTAGTCCCCGTTTGGTTAGGTTGGCAATGCCTCGGGATAGTTGGTCTTTCAGTCTGTGGGTAGTGTTATAACGGGAGAAGTTGGGAGGATTTTTGGTTATGGTACCGGTGATGCAAAGGATTTGGATATTTTGGATGTGAAGGAGAGCTTTGATATGATATATTTTTCTACTGAGGCCCTGGGCGTTTATAGTACCGAGGATTGAACGCCCATTTTCCCGTACCGCTGGGCGTTCAGCCATTCAAGTTTCAGGACTTTGGTTTTGATGTCATAACCATTCACCTATGATTTGGATCGCCGTTGATGTCATTCAAAAATTCCTGAGCTATGCTCGTGCGACGGTTTTTTTGGTCAAAATTAAGCAATTTTGTAACTAACTTCGATGCCACACGCTTCATGCCTATAAAGTTCGAAAACATTACGTGGCATGAGCTAACAGATATGCTTTCTGAACGATTTTCTTCACTTTCTCGGCATTTTCATCGGTTGTTGATCTGATGAGACGTTCAGGGTGAGCGTCGTCATTCATATCTTCCCGGCCTTCTGTGAAAAACTCGTGCCACTTGTAAACATTTTTGTGACTCCGAGTACAATCAACGTATGCCACTGTCAACATTTCGAGTGTTTTTGAGAACTCAATTCCATTTTTCACACTGAATTTTATGCAAATTCTTTGATCCATTCATTTAGATAGCAGAAAATTGCCAAACACGTATAACATTTCTAACTTGTATACCTGTCACCAACAAACTGAACGTGCTCAACAGCTGAAACTGTGAAACGAATTTACCAACATGATAGAATCGCTAATCAAATGTACGTAGCTTGCGAAATCTTAACACTTACCTTATTTTTTTAACACACCTCGTACACTCTGTTTTATTATAATAAACAATTAGATGAATGATATAACGTTTTTTTTTTTGTTACAGATGGTATATTGATATTTTTGTCGATTATTTGGACAGCGTGAAAAATGACGGACAATTGGTTCCATTCTTGGCAACCGCCCACGGGTCTCATACCAGACCAGCAGCCATTTCATGGTCCACTTCACTTGACGAATTTCAGCAACGTTTACGATTTAGGGTACCAACAAACACCAAGTGAGTACCTATTCACTTTTCTTTTTTTGTGTGTTCATTTGCTAAATGGAGCCGAACGGTCGAAGCGTTGTTCGATTGTTTATTTAGATAATAATCATTGGATGCTCCTCGACATTTTTATTACGTTTGTTTAAATCTGTTTGAATACTGTTTTTTCGTTAATCAGTTGTCACACCCCTACGAACGACCACCCTCAGAAGTCGAAACTTGTGCGAGCTGAGGATTAACGAGGTCTTACCTTTTAACGTGTGATACGTTTCGTCAACATTGTAACTTCTACATTCATTAAGATATTATCGTGTATTCAGTGGGTGTAAAAACACCAATTTCAATATTGTGAGTGAAAATTGAAGATATGTCATTAACTCTGATGAAATTAATGTTACTTTTTTTGTTAAACGGTGGAAAATTAGAAAATATGATTTCGTACACCGGCAATTGTGAACCAGGATAATCAATATTCATTCTTAAGCCTGCCTTCGCTTCCATAAAATTCGAAGTGGAAACAAAATATAATAAATATTGTTTTGAAATATTATATTCTCGAAATATATATGTAGTATTCAATTTGCTTTTCACGAGTATCTACGANACGAAACAAATATCACTTTCGAAAAAACTACATTCATATGTAGGAATCACACGTTAAAAGGTAAGACCCCGTTAGTCCTCAGCTCGCACAAGTTTCTCAACTTCCGAGAGTTGTCGTTCGTATGGAGGCGATAGCTGATTAACGGAAAAACTGCTATTTTTTTTACAGATATGAACATTGAATTATACAAAACACACTTTTTCCTAATCTGTCACTGGGTCATTAAAAATCTTTCTATTCTAGGAAATCCTGACCATGGTCGACCTGATACTTTTCTGCCATATTTACTATCACTTGGTCTCGCAAGACCAAGTTTTCCAGATACTAGCAGTACAATTGGATCAGAAAGAACCGGCCCATTTACAACGTGGTATAGTTGGAAAGTTTTGGATTTCGCATATCCTTCAGAATACGAAAGGGATCTGGCCATCTCTAAAGAAGAATTCATACAAAAAAATAATCTCCCGTTAGGTAAGAACCTCATTTTGAATCAGACTCAATCTTATTATGATAATAATAATAATGTTGGCATATAACATGTTTGTTTTTGGAAAATCAATGCATATGAAAAATAAACATAGATAAATTGCTGAAGATATCAGCAACCAGAAGATTTGATGAGTGCTTATGCGCAATATATTCGAATAAACTATAATTGAAATTATCATTTTTAAGCATACCGGGTGACGAAGAAACCAATTTACACGACGTCGTTATTTTTTTTGACATAAGAAATTACTAATTTGAAATGAAGCCGTATCCCGGGTATCCCAAATTCGAGGGTGATTATTGAAATTTTGGAAACCGTGAAAGATATAGAGTGGTTTAATTGAGACAAAGGTACGTAATNTGGATTATATCCGACAGACAGGTGTCAGTGCAGGATTCTTCACTGAAGTTATTCCTGCATATGCTGTTGCTAGTTACCTCGTTCACAGGCAGAGGGGGCGTTGACAAACCAGTTGTTTGTTGTTTGCTTCAACCTAGTTCGAGGAATGATACTCTGACGGAATTCAATTTTGAGTTATCGGAAATCATCGACTTCATGTTGATGATAGACATTACCTTGCACTGACGAGTGGCCAAACAGCCCGAAACCGGTCTGCAAATGTGTTTCAATAGTTGAAAATCTACTGCAGCAGTTGTATCGCCAACAGCATATGCAGAAATAACTTCAGTGAAGAATCCTGCACTGACACTTGATAGGTGTCAGTCCATTTACCTACAGTGTAGGAAATTTGAGACTGGCCTGGACGGATTGTTCTTCTAGATAATTTGATTTCATTAAAATTAGCTGTGACCAATCTTCCCTTAATGAGGAGGGGCACCATCTTGTTGCCACCATAACTGCCTAATAATATTGAGAGTATCGACTTGATATAGTATGTTGTTTCATACTGAAGCTATATATCTTTCTCTGGATAAACTACCCTCATATATTAAAGGGCCACATTCCTACTCACACATCAAAAGAAGTGAAAAAACAACATTCATCGATTCATATTTCTTAAAGTTAAAACTGACATTAGAAAGGCAGTGACAAAATACCTGGCGTCTAATATTATCAACCGGTTTGAGTTTTTGACTCAAGTAAATTTTATCAGATCTGTTATTCAAATTCACAGTTCACCATATCACCTTATTCTTATTCTGGGCAGTTGAATTTAGTTTTTAAAATGCTTTGTGGATCCTTGAGGTGAACTATTCACCTTAAATTAAAAAAATATTCCTAAACTTACCGAATTCAGAATATTTTGTTCTTCCTCAGCATTTGTTCGCCGACCATTGGGTTCGTCAAAACCTCCAAATTCCAATTAATTCTCACCAAGTTTGGCAAAGTGATTTTCATTCAGCTGCAACCGTCGAGGAATTGTTGAAAGTAACGCTGATAAGACGTTCTAGAATTCCGATTTGAGCCATGATGAATTCGTAACGTATAACGCTTCTCTAAAATTGAAAACGACATTTTCTTTTTTTATAGAATTTGGAAGTTGAAGTTACAACAACTGATATTGACGTTGAACAATTACATTTTTTTTCTGTCCATAGCCTCCTTTCATTTCAGTTACTGACTCGGCCAATGTCACTTTGACATGGCCTATTGTTTGAATAAAAGTACAATGAGATAATAGTATATTGTACAACAAGTGAGAAAAATGACATGAGAAATATGTCATTTTCTCACGCGTTGTACACTGTACTTTTTATACGGGTGCGTTGTTTTCAAGTATTGAAAAGTAAAATACATATACAGTGTCACCGATAAAGTCCGCATCAAATGGGAAACTTTTTTATTTATCGTTTCATGTGAAATTTGATTTTGGCAGTAGATTTTGCTTAAGAAATGATGTCAAATGGCGTCTACAAAATAGGTCACGTGATTTCCTTAACCTGTCAAAATTGACATTTAAAAAAAGAAACATCGAAAAATGACATTATTCTTCAAAATATCCAAAAATATCAAA